ATGAGATCATATTTGGCTCCTGCCTAGTGAGGTGAAGGGACCTGCCCCGCTCCCACTACAGGGCAGAATCAACAGAACTGGACTTAATTGTACATTTAGTTATTGTTCAAAGACTGTCGTATGTCACAGACCTGCATAAAAATGAGAAGTTTCCTGTATTGCTTCAAACCTGATATCTCACTTTCAAATTTAAAAAAGATAATTCAGTAACACCTTTAACTGGTCAGATCTGCTTTTCTTATTAAGAAAACAGTGTCCATTTCCTTATGTAGTAAGTAATGTCTTCCTAAGGCATCCATTTTTCTGTGTATGGGAAATAAACTGTACACTTTCTCCAGACAATCTATTTCCCAAAGGAATAGCAATAGTAAATGCATGTGTAATGCCACAGAGTTTACAAAGCACTTATCAAATCACTGCATATCATTTGATTTACTTCTTAAAATAACCTTGTGAGGGAGGAATTATATTGATTGATTGATTGATTGATGGCACCGCTCCTCCCCCACTCCTTACTCCTGTAAAAGGCTTTAAGAAGGCTGATGTTATTAAATTCTCATTTTAAAGCTGGGGAGATTGAGGCTAAGGGGTGAAGAAAATTTCCCAAGGCCACAAGGCTGGTAATCGATCCAGCCAGCTCTCAAACCAAGGTCTTCTGGCTCCTGCACTTTTTTTTTTTCCTTGAATACGCTGTTAAGTTCTTTATTATTCCTTAAAAAACCCGCTATAAATGGACGCTGCCTCTTCAGTTCCTGCTGCTTTATTAACTGAGGATTTGACTACTCAAGTTCCTTGGCTAACACATATTCCATTGTATCCATTTACAAACATTACACTTTGTGTAACACATCCTGATGTCTCCAGAGAGCCACATGAATATCGCATGAGTTCATTAATCTCTGTGAGATTAGAATAAACGTCAGATGAATTCATTATCATGAGGCACTCAGGGGGCTTTGCCAATGTTATCAAAACAAGGCAGCGTGTTCAAAATAAGGAAGTGGTGTTTTGAAACCTTATCCTTACTCAACGTAAGTCAACACACTGTGAAGTTTTGATCTATGTGATGCATCGTTATCCCAATGAAATTTTTCCTTAGTTTAAACAGTAGCCCATAAAAGGTAGGTATTTATTAAATAACACTTAACTATTTTGAAAAATGTGCAACACTTAAAACAATTTTTAGGTTCAAATATTGATGAGATTTTTGTTGGCTCTAAGAAGCATCTGACTTTATAGACATGTCATTCTTTGCTGATGAACCTGAAACCTGGTTTATGGTGCCCATTCAGATCGATCCTTCGAGGTTAGAGTCAGCCCCTTCCATCACAGGTCTTGCGATGCCTAAGGGGGCAAAATCAGCCTCGTTTACAGAGAAGCAATTGCTTGAAAAATCAAATTAGCAACATGATGGATCTCAAGACTTTGGTGACTAGTGAACTTTAATTATTATATATTTTATGTGTTTATGCTGGCAGTAAAAGTCAAGCACTCATTATAAAAATGGCAGACATGATCTTTCATAAAATGAGTGCTGGGCGGCAAATGAATAGATAATCAGGATAATGAAAGCAGGCCAAAAGATGCTGGAGAGCTGAAAAGACCCCGACGATGACTCCCACTGAGATGGAGGGCATAATTGCAATTGGAAAGAGAACACTTTTGGTGATCTTTTAAAATGTCAGCTTCATCCTTAAGCTCAGTGTGATATTTGGGTTATAGGGTAAAGGGGAAAAATTCTTTCCTTCTGCAGTGAGAAACTGGCAGTGACCATCTCTGCTATAGTCGCTCTTCAGGCAATACAAAATCTTCTTATGCAGACCGTTCAAATACACGTTTATGACAGAGGGTCATAAAGTCAAACTTATTTTGCTTAGCGTGTTATACACATTTTACGAATATTTTAATATCTTTGAGTCTGACAACTAAGCCTTAAAATAAGTGGGATCTTGAAGTGTGTGCTATGTGTAAATGGATAAAGATTGTAATAAGGATCTTTGGCACAGCGTTAGGAGAGAAAAGTTTACGGAGAAGGAAACTTTTGAATGAGCAAATATTCTCAGGAACATCTGCATAAACACTGAGCTTTTTATAAATTGACTAACAGTTTAAATATGCAGAAGGAATTCATTATTCTAAGAGCTGTTATAGTAGTATGTACTCTATGATGAGAATTCTTTTATGATGCAAACGTCTCCTGGCTTGGAGGATATATACCGATACATGTTTTTAAAAAAACCTCGGGGTCTATTTGTACTCAAGATGGTGGACAAATTCAGTATAATTAATTAAAATTCTCAGCCAAGAGTTAGATCATTGATAATACTAATAGTACAACTTTAGGAAAATAATTTTGCTATGCTTTACCCATATTTTCACAGATGGATGGTCTAAAGTACTTTTAAAAAATTATATTCTAACTTTTCAGGTGTATTGTATTATATTTAGTATTATTCTGACTCTGCTGGAAGTGTTTCCAATTTTTTAATAAAGAATGTTAAGACAGTAACATCACATAAACTTTCCTCCAAGTGACTCAACCCATACAAAAACAGAAATGTCTGTTCATTTCAGATATTTTAAAAGGTGAATTCAACTTTCTAACTTCTTTCCATTATGAATCTGAACACACTATAATGTTTCTATAAACGAGGGAAAAAAACAAAACAAAACCCAAACTGTCACTTGGACGGATTATCTGTACTCGCGTTCCTGTGTGATCCCACCGCAATGTGATTATATGTCCTGGAAGGGGCTGGGCAATGAAAAGCACTGTGCAAAAGGGTCACCAAACCTTGGATTTGGAACAATGGACAGTTTAGGAACAGCATCGTGGAGTGCGTGTTGTTACAGCTGCCTCGTAATGAAACTTACCTGGCTGGAAGCTTGATTTTGGACTTGTAGCCTCAGAACTGTGAGAACTAAAGGTCTGTTGTGTAGGCCCCCAGGATGTGGTACTGTGTGAGGGCAGCCCGCACAGACTCACACACACGGATTGTGAAGCGTACGGCACCATGGCAAGTGTCATGATTTGGGTATGGCTGTCATTTGCGAGAGGCTTTCCTGTCCAGCACTTTTCCTGGAATTTCTCTTCTGATCCCCTTCTTTCTCCCTCTGGATCGTGTTTGGGATAGAGCTGGTCTGAGACTCAGAACCCGTAGAATTTATGTTTCTTCTTCTCCTTCTCAGTAGTTAGGATGTTTTTAAAAACTAGGATACATACAAATATAAAATCTTCCTTTTTAAGATACCACTTTATAATTTGCAAGGCATTTTATTGCCATTGTCATACTTTTGTTACAGTCCACAAATTAAACAAATAATCCTCTACTTTATCATTTACTATAATAAGCCAAGTCTTCATTTATAAACTTCATTAATTTAACTCCGGTGATGTGAAATTTCTATATCTGGGATGTTACAGTCATATTAAAAAAACATTTGCTAATAAAAACTAATTATGCAAACGAGAATGTGGGAGAGATATTTAAGCTACTTAAGAAATGAAATTGTTTTCAAGTACTTCACCTATGATAACCTGATATGATAAACTACTGAAAGTAAACTGATAACAAGTCATTATTTATCACGAAATCTCTAAAACCTTTATTTTGAATGCTGATAGTTAGCTTTACTTTCATTGGTTAGAGCCAATCTTCATTAAAAGTGTAATATTGTCAGATGTGTAGCATTGGTTTTTAGGCTAATAACAAACACCCACACTTTGGGCATTTGATAATCAGTAGGAACATACATTTTAAATAGAATACCTGGATTCTGTAAGTAGTTAAAAGAGTGAGTCTCACTTGGAATAGAAATATTGGCTGTCTTTTTTTTTTTTTTTAATGAGGTAGCAAACTGAGGTACTCTAACATAAATGGTTATTTATAAAAAAAATTACATAATGTGGTATAAAGTAGCAGCGAGACTTCTCTGACTTCATGTAGAAAAGATAACTGATGTGTTACTGCTGTATTTCACAATTTAGTTTTCCCACGCATGGGAGATATGCTGGGAATTAGCCTATTCCATCTTCTTAATGAGACTTATCTATTACCTCAGATAATGTATCTATTTTCTTCAACCAGCAGGACTAACTGCTTACTGGAGTGAAATTTTCGGCAATTATTAGAAAGAAAATTTACCAACAGATAGAAAGGGAATAGTCTATCTTTCTACGTATCTGTGTGTCGAGATAAAATGAAATGACATGGATGTGCTGTTATGAGGGGGATGCTGACTCGCATAGTTCCTGTGCAAACGCGTGCGAGCCGCTTACAGTTTCCCCATGATGATAGCAAGAGCTATATGCATGGCAGTGTTTACTTACTTGATGATAGTATGGGAGGCTTCAATAACTCAGAGAAGAGGCTCGATAAAAATGGAGTGTCATTCAGTCCTGATAACGATTGTCAGAGGGACTGCATGGCTAGTTTCTTTATTCAGAAATAGGTCTGATGTTACCATATGTGGGTACGTACAAAATGGAGGCATTTGCAAAGCCTGCTGCTTCTCTACTTTCCCCCAAACTTGACATAATCAGCCTTTCACGTCTGTTCCCAATCTTGGTGAATTAGAAATAAAAGCAACCTAGCTAAGTGGGGGATCCGAAATATTTCTAAGAGCCTTGATGAATAATTGTGGGACTGCAATCTACCCATGTTTGGATAGCCAGTTATATTTTTCAGTAACCACATCGCTCAAAATATTGGTAAATTGTGAGGAATCTTTACCTTGTATATGGCGGTAAACAACAGTGGCTACTGGGCTCTACTGGTTTCTAGATGAGTAAAGAAGATAAAACCCTCTGATAAAAGAAGTGTCACTGCAGTAGGCCGGGGTCGCTCTCTGCATCCGGGTCAGCTGCTGCTGCTGCAGCCCTAGCTTGGCGACTGGGCCCCGGTCTCCACGGCGGTCCGAGGGGAGCGGGCTCCTCTCGGCACTACCTCCTGCGCCCTGGCTGTCAGCCCCACGTCGCCGGCCTGGAGGGTGAAGAAGACGAGGGAGCCAAGGCTTCCTCCGGGGACATTGGCTCTCTGGATTATCAGGAGTTTGTGGCTGATATTGAATCTAAGCTGAGGATGGAAGGTGTGGAACTTAAGGAAGAATGGCAAGATGAAGATTTTCCAGTACCTTTACCAGAGGATGATAGTATGGAAGCAGATATACTAGTTGTAACTGGACCAGAGAGCCAGCCTGAAGTTAATGGAAATAAAGTAAGAAAGAAACTCACGGCTCCAGACCTTAGCCTGGCCCTGGATCCTAGCGATGGCTCTGTGCTGTCAGATGATTTGGATGAAAGTGGGGAGATTGACTTAGATGGCTTAGACACGCCATCAGAAAACAGTAATGAATATGAGTGGGAAAATGATCTTCCAAAACCCAAAACTACTGAAATTGTTAGGAAAGGCTCAATTACTGAATACACAGCAGCAGAGGAAAAAGAAGATGGACGATGCTGGCGTATGTTCAGAATTGGAGAACAGGACCACAGGGTCGATATGAAGGCAATTGAACCCTATAAAAAAGTTATCAGCCGTGGAGGATATTATGCGGATGGATTAAATGCCATTGTTGTGTTTGCTGTCTGTTTTGTGCCTGAAAGTGGTCAACCCAACTATAGATACCTGATGGACAATCTCTTTAAGTATGTTATTGGCACTTTGGAGCTGTTAGTAGCAGAAAACTACATGATAGTTTATTTAAATGGTGCTACAACTCAAAGAAAAATGCCCAGTCTGGGATGGCTCAGGAAATGCTACCAGCAAATTGATAGAAGGTTATGGAAAAACCTAAAATCACTAATCATTGTACATCCCTCATGGTTTATCAGAACGCTTCTAGCTGTCACAAGATCCTTTATTAGCTCAAAATTCAGCCAAAAAATTAGATACGTCTTTTATCTGGCAGAACTAACAGAACTTGTCCCCATGGAATATGTTGGCATACCAAATGCATAAAACAAGTTAATCAAGAGCTTAATGGAAAACAAGATGAACCGAAAAGTGAACAGTAAGTTTGGCGTCTAGTCCGAACAAGACTGAAGAATGTGCTGATGAAGCAGTGCTCTTTTTTGCATTTATAATGCATTTATTGGCCCTGATTTTTATGTAACCTGTTACAAAATTGACTTGACTCTTCCTTAATGGACTTTTGTATAAGGGACTGTTCACCGCTGTATTGGTTTGCAAATCTCTTGAATTTAGCTCTTTATTAGCTAATTATATTGTAATCATTTTATATTTTATATTGCTAAATAGCAGAGAACCACACTTTATATAAAGCAGTTTTTGCATTTGTTTGTTGAATGATGCATCATCTTCAGTAAACTATTTATATGCCTAAATGGTAAAGGAAAGAGATAATATATATTTTTATGTTTCTGAGCAATATTTTTTAATGTATACCTGTCTTGTGGAAGAATATGCAGGTAAATAAGACCATGATTTGTAAGGTGCATGTTCGAATTTTTGTTTTTGTAACTGGTTAGATACATTTCCTGGGTAACTTAGAAAACAGAGTTGCTCATAAGGTGAGGGACAGTTAAACTGGTTCTCATGAATACCCAAAGGTCATGTACATAATCTAAGTACACTAATACTATCCTAAGCTTTTTTTTCTCATTTAATACTGTTTCTTAATTCAGAAGCGCAAATGCAAATGTATTGCACACTTTCTCCTTTTTAAACTTTAAAGACAAGTCAAAAAGCCATTTTTAGAACTAGAGAATTTAAGAGGCTAAGAAATGGGGTTTGTATATATGTATATATGGGACATTTTATCTTCTGGCCAGAAGTCAGAACTTTATAAAAATTTTAGGTCTGTTCACTAATGTGAAATAAGCTGTGTGTCCAGGGTATCACTCTCCAGAATTTGTGAGTGCAGTGTAGTATTCAGAGAATGTGATGAGTTATTCACTGTCCCTATTTTTCTGTAGAAAATAGGGGCTGCTTTTTTAACTGCTCTCAATGTGGGCACTTTACCAAAATACTTCTGTATCAGTTACTTAAACTTGGTAGGAGGTAGGTGTTTGACCTAATCAGATTTGTGTATATTCACATTTTCTGTTGAATCATGTTGACAGTACTGTAAATTAAGTTATTTTGTAAGTCTTAGAGCATCATTACATTATGCTGTTTGGGACGGCATTTGATATAAGCATATAAACTTTTTGTTTAATTTGGTAATAAGTACCTTGACTCTACACTGAAATACATTGTACTGAGGTGCCCAAACAGAACTTAATTACCCACAAAATCATCCTAAAACAACAGATTGGTCTGATACTGTGTCATATGCTTGTGTGACTCATACACATGTGGAAAAATGAGTATCCTCCAAGTTTGAGGATACTACCACACCCCAGCCCTTCCCATAAGGTAATTTACAAAAGAATGTCCTAGAATAGCAAAATTGAAGCTGATGAGAGCTAAGCTTTTAGGATTTATTCCATCTCAGACTGAACACACATGTGGCTTTTATAAACATTGCCATTTTTCGTATAAAGTTTCTGTTAAAAAAGAGAATTTTCCTTTACTTTTTGTCCTCCTCAGTTATAAACTTGGCATGCTAACCTAAGTCCAATTATGGGAGATGCTGGAGGATTCCCAGCATGAGATGTTCCTCAGCAGCCTTCTGACTTAACTTGGATCCAGCAGCCGTGGGCAGATCCTAAACTAATGTCATTATAGCAAATAAAGCCAAAACCGTTATTGCTTGCTCAAACCTTAGATACAGTTTGTTTTGAAAAAGCAAACTAACAATAACAACTTAGGCATTCCTTCTGAATTTACCATATGAGAATTACGAATAAAGGATCATTGAATTTAATTGTGATTGGAGTCTATATTTATAGAGCTCTTTAAGTAGTCTTTCATCTGTAAGTCTTTATCCCGTTCAAAATTTGCTGAACTTTTTAAATAGGTGGTTTTCCTCCACATAAAGTACACAGTTCTTCAGGTTCAACAGTTTATTGTGTTTATTCACTTTTGCTTTTGCAAGCATTGTTCCTAACTATAGATACAACTTGTTGCAAAAGTGATGCATTTTCCTAAATATTTTTTTAAAGCACAGGTAACCTTTAATCTATTAGAACATTAAAATTCAGAAGGAACAGTGTTAACACTTGGGATATAACGAGAGTGATGTGCTGTGAATCGTTGGATTAAACGACACCTGCTCTAACCTACACCTTAAAGGAATCTGGTATAGGGACATGCCCCATAATAAATGTTTCATAACTATAAGGCTTAAGATTATAACTAGTAGGTTAGAGGAAAAGCACTTAGGAAGTTTGTTATTTGTAATTTGTCACTATGTGACATTTCCCTCATATCATTCAATTTTAATTTTCCATTGCTGATTGAAAGGACATAAAATTGTATTATTTTATCTTTCTGCTGGGGTCATGGCTCTAACTTAACTGGTTTAATTAAAAAAAAAAGAAGTATCATTGACGTAAAAACTCAAGCTTTATAGAGCACTTCAAGTGATGGCATTCCATATACAATACATAGGCATAGTACCACAGCAACAAGGGTAATGTGAGAAATAGATGCACTTTGTACCAAGAGTTACATTACCCGGGTTAGCTTACTTTCTAGGAGAAGAGACCATATTCTATGAGACTATAGTGAAATGATATTCCTGTAGTTGTAATGAAAAAAAAAAAAGAGACTTATGCTCTTATCCAGTTTTTGCAGTGAGGCATGACCTGCAACATGAATCAGAGGAAATTAAAATAGAAGGAGTGCTTCTAGATTCTTTGTTACATTAAGTACCAAGTTATTTCTCAGTGAGTCTCCATGATGGTCCACAGAGCTCTGGGGATCCCCCAGGATCTTTCATATATAAGGATTGGTCTAAGATGCATGAACAAGATAAGCTGGTATTGGGGTGAACATCTCTGGTGGAGTGTGCAAGAAAGAGGAGAGAGAGTGTTATTGCTTAATGTCACTGATCATAGCCTGAGACCATTGAAGAGAGTTCCTAAGTTTCTGAATTTTAAAAATTTTTTAACATTTGGATTCCATTCTCCTTCAGTTCTGGGCACTGGTTGCCTGGAGCCATGCAGATGGGAAGTATGGCAAACAGTGTCCATGGAGATCATATCTAATAATTGATGACAGGGCCCACTAAGTCCTAGCACCCCCCTCCCCCGCCCCTGAGAATCAATGGCAACTATTCAGTTTCTCTTCCATCATTGTCTCCTACCCTGTGTTGGTCTTATCACTTTCACTTACGATAAATCAGGATACGATCCATACAGAAAACTGAGGATACAAAGGGTCAAAAGTTACAAACCCAATATACTAGGTGTTTTAGTGAGCAAAAAATAGACGAAATGAATTCTACTCACAAAACTATTTGCAAGTATGCAGGTGGATGGAAGGCACAATAAAATGTGATCAAAGAGAAGTCAAAGAATGACAGTGAGGGACAGATAAGGGTTTAGGACATGTGAAGGAGGGGAAATAGTTTAAGGATTGAGGTTTTTGGAAGAGGAGAGTGTAGCAGTTAAGAATACGAATATAGAGTTAGACTAACTTGGGTGGAATCCTTGTTTCCTTACTTCCTGAGAATGTACTGGCAAAGTAACATGACCCCTCTGAACTTCATTTTTTTCTAATCCATGAAATGATATAATACCGATCTTAAACTTATAATCATTATAAAGACTAACATGGTGCGTCCATGATGAGAGAGTAGAGTCCATTTGCTTATTGGGTTCCAATTTCTCTTTTTGGAACTGAATACTGACAGAGACAATGGTTAAGTCCAAACCCACAGTGCTGTCTAAGGTCAAATGTCCGGTCTGATAGTTTGGCCAATAGAATAGAGTGTTGGAGTGTGAAGTTTTGAGATTGTGGGTGAGGAAGCAGGCAGCTGTGAAAAGCCTAGGAAAACAGCATGAAGCTTTTAGGAGGTCAAGCCAGGGGCCAGAAGCCTTATGAAGACAGAAGGACAGCCTCAATTTCAGTGCTATCATTTACTATCTTCTTAACCATGACCTCTCACTGACCTGGGTTTAATTTGAGGGACAGGATATAATGTAGGGTGAGGACACGACATTTCAATAGTGCTAGCTCCTTCTCCAGATTTCTTGTCAACTTGAGACTGAGGAGGCCACCGAAGGACCTGTCACTGTACAGCAAATTCACAGCTGCCCAAGAAGCAACTCAGTCAATCACTGTCCTTCCCATGAAGGCTGCAATCAATAATGCCACAGGAGCATTTCCCCCCAAGAACCAATAACTGCCTGGAACTGTGGGAGACCCATTACAACCCTGAGAATGTGATGTGGAAAAATGAGACGAATAAAATAGTTTACTCACCAAAAAGAAAAATACAAGAAAAGCAACACCACCATACGTTTAATTATGAAACCTTGCTCTCACCCTAGGGGAGTTCATGGATTCAGCAGCTAGCCACAGATCAACCGAGAGCACAATGGGTAGATTTGTTGTAATTTATGAGAATCTGACTCCTAGACGTTTCATGAGATCACATTTTAAATTTTGCACTGGCCAGAAGAAACAAGGTTGTCAGGTGATCCTCAGAATTTACATTACTTTTGTTGTGAATAATATTAAAAAATCTACCTTTATCAATAGTACTGGGGCATTTTCATTTCTATGAGCTTTGAGGACTTGAGAATGATCCTAACTCAGGTATAAACTGGACTTGGAAATTCTAGTAAGGAATATTGATTGCAGCATAATGGACCCTTGGTTTAATTCACCTCTAGTTCAGCCCTGTAACACATCACCATAGCAACTCTCCCAATATTCTCTACATTTCCCAAACCCTGAATTGCACTTCCACCTGCCTCATTCTTAGCAGAGGATCTCATTTCCTACTTTACTGAGAAGATTAAGCCACTGGGTAGAAACTCCCTTATGTTTTTGAAATGACATCACTCTCTCTTCTATCCTAGTTCTTAGAAAAACTGTGCCTACTCCTGGTGAGAATTAGCTTTTAACAGAAAGCCTTTATCCCCAACTATAACTATTCTAGAGGTTCTCCACTTGAATGATCATTTGCATTTCCTTGG